TTGCTTTCTTTATGTGTTAAAAACATAATCAAAACTAAAAAGCAATAGGCAGAACTTTTTACAGTTTGGGTTTTGCCTTTGGAGCTATTTAAAATCTAAGGTGGAGCTACAGTGTTATGTGTCCTTCAGTCCAAAAACATGAATTAAAAAATGTGCAGTTTACCTTTGGTAATGAAAGAGAAATCTTATAATACCACATTGCAAAACCTTAAGGCCATACACTTAATTGCAAGAGAGCATCACCTTCGCTATGAAAATAATGTGTATCATTGCTATACCTTTAGAAAGTAATTGCCATAATTTTGACTGAGAAGAGCTAAAACTGTCCTTTAAAATCACACTGAAAGTGGTACACAGGGTTGAGAGAGATCTATCAAAGTTACAGTTTCAGAGCAAGAACATATGAAAATAGCTATCCTGAATAAATTTAATTTGAAAATGATAAAGTCTATTTTTTATGGTTTGTTATGGACTGTCAAAGTGCCATGGCGAAGAAATGTGTACATATCATCCAGGCCATATAAGCCACAGGATATCTACAGAGAAATAGATGTTTGGTTGGCATTGTACAAAATATTGTCAAGACTACACGTCCTTGTAAATTTGGAGTCACCTTTGTTACAAAAAAATATTATTGAAACTGGAAAGCACCAAAGGACCACTGTCCTACCACTTTTAGGGTCTGATTTGTTGGAGAGGAATGATAAAAGGAAGGACTTAGCAACTTCTGTCTAGCAATAAGAGAGATCTGAAGAAGAACTATTAAAGTAAGAGATCCAATCAGTATCAGCTATTTTCAGTGCATTTAGGCTGGAAATGAGAAATAGATTCCCACATGTCAGACACGCATGGTCCTCAGAAGAATCTTGATGGCAAGAAATTTAACTGATTTCAAGATGAAACAATAAACTTAAATAAGAGACTGTAAGGGGTGTTTGCTGACAGCAGTGTGGCTTACCCAGAATACTGCTCATTATAGGTCCATTCAGTCCTTCTTGAATCTTAGTTCTGTTCAGATCAAGTGAAAAAATATATTATTACTCTCAATGGAGCCAGGATTTGTCCTTTAATATGAAAAGCAAAAGCTATATTTTCTGTTACTTGAAGCTCTGCATATTGTAGAAGAAAATTTTTCCACTGAAGTTTTCCCCCTACTTTTAGGGAAAAAAACCCAAATAGAGATTTTGGGCTACAGGGTTTGTTTCCTTTTTTCTTCTTTTCTTCCTCATCCCACACTTGCCCTTTTTTTTTTTTTTTTTTTTTTTTTTTTTCTCTTTTTCTTTTTTTTTTTTTTTTTTTTTTTTTCACATCAACAAGTATTTTGTGGCTCTTTTTTAACTGGAAAGAACATTAGTAAATGACTTTTTACTTGCCAAGAAAAACAGAATGTAAGGAAAAGGATGGCAGATCTTGTAAACATTGCTATTATAACAGCTAAAGGTGCACATTTGCTCATTTTTCACAAACTGAACCATCAAGGAAACAACTGTTCTTGTTTTCATTGCACACAGAGTAAGTGGTATAAACAATGTGATTTACTTATAGTGTGTTGCTTATTTCCGTCAGAATGGTGCAAAACTAATTCTTTTGTTGTTTTGACTTATGGTATGAATTCAATCTGCCATGATTATAGGTTTTTATTGTGTCAGGAAAATTTAACATGTTTGCATCTGATTCTGCCACCCCTTCCACATCTGCCCTACAGAAGAGCTGAAAGTCATGGAGAAGCAATGCCACCAATAGATTTTAAAATCTTTCAGCTCCTCCCACAAAGTACTCAGCATCCTTCAGATTTGGGCCTGAGAACAGTCAACCTTTGGAGATAAAAAGCTTAAGAATAGTTCAGCATAATTTGGAAATATAGCATTGCCTAAGAGAAATAAATGTTCTGTCCTGATCATAAAACCTACTCTCACTCTGTCTACCAGTGCATAGAACTGAAGTCTGCGTTAAATTAGTTGTAATAAAGGTAGAGATTTGAAATGTCTGGTGAGATTACAGATGCTTTGAGGTAGAGCATTTTGGCTCAGATTCATCTCATGTGATAGGTGGCTGTACTTTATTGTTTAGTTTTAACTTGGTTCACCAAAAATAGCACTCTTCCTAAGTATTTAAAGAAATATTTTAGACATACCATAACGCCTTTAATGTTCTTAGTGCCTACTTTAATGCAGAGCTTCCAGTGGATGGGAATTCTGCAGGATGTATCTAACAGGATGCTGACATACCAGCTAGTTTGAATTTTAAAAATTTAAGTCTGTCAGGAAGTTCTGATTTTTTTTTTTTTTTTTTTTTTTTTTTTTTTTTTTTTTTTTTTTTTTGCCACAGAAATCAGAATTAGCATTGAGACTTGGACCTTGACCAAAATTCAGAGTTCAAATAGTGTTAAAATTTTCGTCTTGCTTTAACACACTTTCTCTCAATGAAAGTAAAACAAAGACTACTGTGAAACATAAAAAGCAGCAAGTATCCTTTGGTATGTTACTGTGTTTCAGTCTCCAGGAGCTCTCAGTTGCTTTCAGGTAGGACTGATTCATCTAATAAAATGTTCAGCTGGATTATCTCTTACCACTGTCTTTCCCACTTCTTCAGTTAAAAGAAAAGAAAGGTGGTGTTGTCTGTAAGTTAATAGTGTTTAAAAACACTATGCTGTATAAAACATAGAAAACGTTGTCAGTACAATGAAGGTTCAAAGATTTTCCTTTTTCTGTTTGTTTGTTTGTTTGTAGAAATAATCTTGCAAGGACTTTTTTATTATTCTTGCTAACAAATAATTATTTCTGTAAGACAATTTCAATTTATACCATAGCTTACATAATTATAATCTTGAATATGTTCAGGAACTTTGTACTTTAATAACAATCCTGTTTGACTTGGTAGCATTATGTTGTTTTGCAGTTGCTTACTTTTTTCTTCTTAATCCATATCTAAAATTTATTTACAACATTTCTTCCTGAAATAAGTATCAGAACAATAACTATTAAAAAAAAAATCAGTTCTAAATTTAAAACACACTCGTACCATATGGGCATCACAGTAACTGCCTTCTTCAGCTGACACTAAAGATAACCCCTGTGTAATTTATAATATCATCAAGAAGGCAAGGTAAGAAATGGAAATATGCATTACCACTATGTTCCACGACTGCAGTGTATTTAAACTAAGTTTAAAAGATCAGCCCTTTTAATAAAAATGAGAGTGTTAACAATATCAGAAAGATTATTACAAATTCTTTAAAATAGTTGATCTTTATTCCCTGACATTTAAGGACCTTCTTGAATTACAGTAAATTATTTTCAAATCCTTCAGGAATAACATTCTCCTTTTCTTTCTTCCTCTGACCCTCCCTCTGCATCTATCTATCTTTTGCTCACTTTCCTTGTCTTTGCTCTCAGGCAGATTTTACTGAAAGATACCTACTTGTGCTGTGTAGAACACACAAAGAAGATGAAAAAATATGAAGCACAGTAAACAACATAAAGCCATTTATTAAAGATCAACAAGAGCTATTATAAAGGGAGAGGAAGTAAGGGTTCCTACTAAAAAACATATAGTTGAATATAAAAAGGATCTTGTAGAGAAGGATCAAGTCTGAAATTGAAAATTTATTATGCTATGAGAAAATGTCATAGATCTGTAGATTAGCAAACCAAATGGGACTAGTGCTGTTATTTAATCTGAGCTCATCCCTAAAATGGGCTGTGAGATTTACCTGAATTAATTCTTCTTTGTACCATTTTTTTAAAAAAGAAAACATACCTTGACATAACATTTCCAGCTACATAAAACTCCCTGCATTTCCCTGGTACATAATTTCAAGAGCAGTTATGCTCACTGCTAGAAAATCAAGAATACAAAAGAAATAGAGCAGTAGTCCATCTATCTTGGTCTTCCATACTGGTGATAGGATGCAGTCTTGGGAGAACATATACCTCTGAGCTTCACTCCCTTGTCTTATCCTAGCATCCACTGGCATGGAATTAGGGATGTTAGAAGACACATCCCTGGCTGCTCCTTTTCATCTCTGTTAACAAACCTGCTGTTTATGATGGTCTTTTTGACTTGCTAACACTATGTACCTCCAAAATCTTTTGAGAAAATGAAACCTAAAAGCTGTCTGCCTTACGCTTAAATTTCTTCTTCTTCTTCTTTTTTTTTTTTTT